GTATCATACCACTAACAGAGATAAAAGAGCTTTGGTCTCAGAAACTTTTTCTGGGACAGCAAGACTTCACTAAAACGATGGCTCGCAATCGCTTTGAAAGCATACGGGCCCGTTTCCAGATACATGCACCAGACAGCGTTCCCGTCGAGCGCCGAGAGCAGGATCCACTGTGGCATAGTAGACGAGTGTTGGCTCAAATACAGAAGAAGTTCACTGCCATTGCTGTACCGGTGGGTGCAGTAAGTTTAGACGAGATCACTGTTCGGACCAAAGCCCGCTCCGGTGCCAAGACCTTTATGCCTTCGAAGCCTGACAAGTATGGCGTCCGTTTTTACGGAGTTGTTGGCTGGGATAGTTTGTATACCTACTCCGTTTGGGACAAAGGATCTGGAAATCGGACGAGAACTGTACCTGTGGATCGTTTTGATGACGTGTGAATGGTGATCTTTAGAACATTAGGGCGGAACGACATCTCTGTGAAACGAAAGGATGTCAGCGCTTTATGGATAGCTATGTGTGGACATCTCTCTAAAACATTTCCGGCTCTAAGCTCTCGCCGACTGCTTGTGTGCGATAATTTTTATACGAGGCACAACTTGGCAACGACACTACTTGCATTTACGGACGGCGAGATGAAGATGCTCGGTACGGTTAGGATATCTCTACAAGGCAAGTGGATCCGCCCCGCTCTAGATGCAGCAAAAGCTCGAATGGACGAAGCTCCGCGTGGATCCTGGGAGTTAGTCGCAGCTTTAGATGTGCCGACGGACTGGGAGAAATTACAGGATGCTCACAAACGTGCCCAAAAGAAGCTTCCTCCTCACCTAAAAACGGAGTATTGTCTACCCATGACAATTGCAAAAAAATGCAGGATATATCGTATTCCGTGACAAACGTACAGTCATCTTCTACACAAACGATCTTGCTCACACTCCGTCACAGCGCGTCCTCAGAGGTGATGATCCCGAAGCCATTCAGTTGTGCCATGATCTTGCCCCGCTTCGACGCTGGACAGGAGAGCAAGTATTACATCGCCAGACATTCCAAGTCCCTGCAACTGTAGTGGCGTATAACTTGTTCATGAATGGAGTTGACAGAGTGGATCAGTTACGAAGCACTAACCCGATTCGACGAAAAGGAAAAAGATTATCGATGAGTATCCTTACCTGGGCTATTGATTTAGCGCTGATCAATGCTTTCGCGCTATTTCAAAAGGTTGCGGGGCCTGGTGCAGCACGCGTTACTCTGCGCGAGTTCAAACGACGTGTTGCTGAAAAATTGACTGCCGTTCAACGCACACGACTGGATAAAGCCAACCGAAAACAACCTGCGCCAAAAGAGCCTTTGAATCTGGTATTAGGAGCCGACAATAGCTTGCACGCTATTACACCAAACTCTCGACAACATTCAACAGGTAAACTCACTTGTTACTTATGCTCACTGCGAGGATTCTCGAAGAAAGCGTTATTCGGCTGCACAGCGTGTCATCGAGGTTTCCACGTTCCGTGCTTCACTGCATTTCACTTTCGAGACGCGCTCACGTCATCCTCGCTCTCCGTTCGTTCAGCACTTGATGCGTTGTGCGCTGCAACGTCCGGCGATGCTGCTGCACAAACACGTCTAAAGAAAAACAAGACGATCACATATCTCGATCAGCTAGAACTACTGTAGGTTACAATAACAGCATCAATACGATACCTGATGGTGTTGTTCAGGTTGACAATTTGCTTCTCCATACACAGCGGCAACGCGACCTTTGTTGTCTTCGAGAAAGAACCGTGCTTGAGATAGTAGTAGAGCTGCGAGAGAGCGCGCTTGGTCCTTCGAGAGTCGCGACGCTTGTGTGGGGACGACAGCATTCGGAGTCTACTGCCGATAATGTCCTTGCTGTATTGCTGCCACTCGCAGGGCGCGTCGCCGCAATATCTGCACAATTGTATGGGGTTCCCGCTGCACTCCATGCTCTCCGCTTCGAATGTTTAAACTAGAGCAGTACCGTGGGGAACAGCAGAGGCGCCACGTAGCTGTCAACAGCGACGGGATAGGGTGATAAATAATGTTTGTTGCGTCGTCATTGGTCCATTAATAGGTCTGTAGTGGACCTGTAAAAACTTTCTGGTATTGAAAGGGTTAATGCGTAAATATGCACATTTTCGGATATTACTGTATGCTCAGTGTTAATGTGCAATGCCAATTTTGTATATGCGACCATGGGTGCTGCTAAATCAAACCACTTCGCGATAATCCCTACTACTCGGATATAGCAGGTACGACAGGTATTACGGTACGGTTCGGTGTTTATGGAGATGACGGTACGCTTAACACGTACCGTAATCTTAATCATACTGGGAATGCCTTGGCAGCTATTAACGAATTAATTCACGGTACTGCGTAACTTGATCGATGTTATCTCGCTCAAATTTCAGCTTACATTTTGATGTAAGATCATTGTTGAACGA